GAACCATCAGGCCTTTCTCAGTGACCTGGGGCCATTGGGAGCCACTTGTTTGTGGCACCATACTGTCCCCACAAGGAGCAGCCCCAAATCCTGTGCTGAATTCTTGTCTGCTTTTCATAGTTTCTTTTGTGTCCCCGCACCCTGCCCCTCATGCTGTCATTTTCTCGGCCACCCATCTGACTCCAACCCCATCAACCTTTCTAAGCCCTTTCTGGGTTGTATCTCTGAGCCGTTTTGCAGAAGTGGATGACGGAGCCTGTCTGAACCATGTTTATAAGGGTAACGACGAGGCCTAGTGAGGGCCTGAGGAACTCCCCAGAGAATCGAGGGCTTGGGCCTGGTGCATAAACTTGGGGATGTGGGTGTTTTCCTACTGGGGAGGCATTTACTCCCACAACCGATTCAGGACAGCAGAGGTGGCCCAAGAGCTGCGGCCACACAAGTGAAACAGGACAGACGCATTGTAATCACATCAGCTCCTGGTCTCTTTGATGTGCATGTCCCCCGAGACCAGGATATCAAGGGTTTGCAGATGAGAGACTCACCCCCCCCCCCGCTCCTGCCAAGAGGCTCTTTTCCACTAGCCCCCCCCCCCCCCCCCGCCCCTGCCAAGAGGCTCTTTTCCACTAGGGAACACCTCGGAGGCTTGGGAACAGCCCAGGGTCTTCCTCGGCCACAGCACCTCAGACTTGGGTGTCCTTTTCATGCCTGGTGAGCACTGGATCACTTGGCAAAGGCCCTAAGAGGCAACCTGGAGCAGAGATGGAAAACCTAGATGCAGGTTCCATTCCCCCTGGGCCAGTCATATCCCTTCCGCGGGCCTCTGTCTTCCCATCTGTGCAACTGGTATGTTGGGCCAGATTAGCATTTTAAGGACTGCTTGGTGGAGCCCAGGGTTTGCAGAGGGGCCTCTGCTCCCCACAGGGGGACGTTGTTTTCGATCGTATATGCCGAGCTTCCACCTAAGACTGTTCGAATACAGCATTTGCAGCTAAGTTAGGAGAATGCAGGTGATCCTCAAGGGCCCCGACATTCCTGTGGTTCCCAGACTTAAAGATTAAAGACTAGAGAAGTTCTCTAGGGCGAAAGTTTCTGGCTACTCACATCAGACACCGCCTTGCCCGTGTCCCCTTTGGACTTCAGAGTTGAAACAATCTCCTTTCTGGTTTTGGGGTTTTTTAAAGCATTTTTCTGAATTGTGGTAAAATACAGAAAACGTAAAGCTTACCATTTTAACTGTTTTGAGTGTACAGTTCAGTGGCCTTAAGTACAACATTCACGTTGCTGTGTAACCATCACCACCCCCCATCTCCAGAACTCCTTTATCTTCCCAAAGTGAAGCCCCGTTAAACACTAACTCCCCATTTCCCCTCCTCAGCCCCTGGCACCCAGCATCCTACTTAGTTCCTATGAATTGGACTCTTCTAGGAACCTCACGTAAGTAGGACCACACAGTATTTGTCTCTCGGTGACTGGTTTATTTCACTGAGCATCCTGTCCTCAGGGTTCATCCATGGTGTAGCGTGTGTCCGAACGTCCTTCCTTTTTAAGGCTGAACATTTCACTGTAGGTAGTTATCTCACTTTGTTTATCCACTCATCTGTTGATGGGCATTTTGGTTGCTTCCACCTTTTGGCCCTTGTGAATAATACTGCCATGAACCTGGGTGTACAAATCCTTTCTGTGGAAGGACGATGGCGGTAAATTTTGAGGATAACTGAAAAGTTGCCCCTTTAACGCTGTTAATGTTATGCGGTGGGAAGAAAGGGACTTGGGGGGTGGCATTTGTGGGGATGGGGCGGTTATTACCCCTCCATCAGGACAGCGGACACGGGGCAGGTTTATCCAAGGTGCTCACCTGAACTTGATTCACGAGGCTGCACTGCTGGGAAGAGGGAGCCCGGCCATGTGCCTGGGGGCCGTGCTGCCTCTTGGAACCTTAGTGCCCCCAAATCTGGGGTGGTGCTACTTATAAGACCTTCCTCTCAGGGCTACACTCAGCCAGGGCCAGGCGCCCCTTGTCACTTGGAGACCATGCAGTTCAAGCAGATTGTTTAGCAAATGGAGGATTTGGGCCTGAGATGGTGGGGAGGGGACCTAGCAAGACCGTCTTCCCATGACCTTTGGGGTTTGGCCCCCATCACCTGCTGGTCCACAGGGCAGCAGACAGCGCTGCTCAGGGACTCGGGGGCCTAGATTCGGTTCCCAGCTCCACTTCAGCCGAAGTCCCGTCTCCTCCAGGGCTCAGTTTCCCCGGCTGTACAGTGGGGTCAGCACAGGTGACCAAGGCGGTCAGGATTTCTCTGCAGAGACACAGCCGCAGGGGAGCCGCCGGCTGAAGGTGGCATGTGTGTGCACACGTCCACGCGCGTGCATGCGTGTGCACAGCCGTCCCCTCCCCTGGCTCCCTGGTGGAAGGCAGGAAGGGACATCCGGGACCCTGGGCTCCACCAGACTCGGTTTAATTACAGGTTTGCAGCTGCGGGCCGGTGGGCACGAGTTGGGAAGGAGGGGGGAGCAGCTCTGAAACCCTGTTATTTTCCAACGTCTGAGGGCCTCTTCAAAGGGGGGCATCTAGACATTTTCTCCACAAGCTGCAGAGTGGACTGTCGTGGCCCCAGCGTGAATATAATGACGGATGCATTTTGCAGCAAGCTGGGAGTGAATGGGTCCGACTGGCTTGTCTCCTGTCAGACGAGTCATTATTATTTTTTTCTTTCTGTCATTTGCTGACACTTCGGGTTTCACGCGTTTCTCTCTTTTTGCTCCTTCTCCCCCTGCCTGGAAAAATGGCTCTAGGCATCTACGAGACCCCAGCGGGGACGATCCTTTACCACGCTCATTTGGACATCGAGGCCTTCACCATGGATCGGGAAGTGCGAAAAATCAAACAAGGCCTGGGCTTGAAATTCGCCGAGCTGGTGTACACGGGTGCGTAGACCCTGCAGCTGCTCCCCTCCGCTCCCTCACCCAGGGGCACCCTCCTCCAGTCCTGCCTTGCCCACTGCCACTTGCTGGAGAGCCCCCGGAAGATGCGGGGTGAAGCGGGGGTGGAGAGAGGGCAGGGGGCAAGGAAGCGAGGAGGGGACGTCGGGAACTGCCTTGTTCACAAGGTGTGGAGGGAAATGCACCAGTTCCCCGGGCTGTCCCGCTGCCTCCGCCGCCTGCGACCCGCATGACGGCCGCAGGGCCAGGGAAGCATCTTGTGTCATGCCTAAGGCTGCCAAGTGTTATCCAGCACGTGCCGGGTACCTGGCACTGTGTGGGAACACAAGTCATCCTACGGGGCTTCCCAAGTCTCCTAAGAGAGCTGTGACCAGAAACTGAGGCTCCGAGCAAAAGGAGCTTATATAAAGTTACACAACTGGATGTGGCCTAGCTGGGTTTGAGCCCAGGTCAGCCTGTTTCCAGGCAGAACCCGGAGCCGCTACAAGAACTGCCTCAAGCAAGGGAAAGCCTACGTTAACCAAGAACGGGGCCCCGGGCCCGGGCATCGCCTGGGCCAGATCCCCACTGGGAAGCCACAGGGATGGCCGAATGCCCAGCCCATGTGTGGAGTGTGGGCTGGGCTCCAGACTGAGTTTCCGTGCCTTACCTGCTGCCACAGAGTAGAAATCCAGTCATCCCGACTCCAGATCCATCCCACGCGTTACACCAGGGGTGACCAAATCCAGCCCATTGCCCGTTTTTGTTCAGCCCATGAGCTAAGACTGGTTTTTACATTCTTCAGTGGTTGGGGAAAATTTTTTTTAAATAATACTATTTCATGGCACGTGAAAATTATAGGAAATTCAGATTTCGGTGTCCATAAGTCGTTTTTGGGCACCACCTTTGCTCATTCGTGTCCATGTTGCCTGTGGTTACTTCAGAGCTACACTGGCAGAGCCGAGTAGCTGCTAGAGAGGCCACGTGGCCTGCAGAGCCTAAAATATTTACTATCTGGCCCTTTCCAGAAAGGGCTGACTCTATTCTATGACATTAACAAATCCCTAGTTTGAGAAGTCACATCAAACAGCCCCTCTGAGCTGTTGGGGGGGGACAGGCTGCCGTCTGTGGGGGCCTGGATGTCAGAGGGACCCCAGGAACGTTAATAGTAATAGTAACTGCCTGGTAGAAGCCTCCACCGCCCTCACCTCTTCCCCTCGTCCCCCACTCGGAGGTTTTGTTTCCTCTGAAACCTCCTAATCTCTGGAACTCATCTCGGGATTTCAAGGGGACATGGTGGTTATTGGCTGGCATTATTTTTCCCTCCCATTGTTCCCAGGGGCTTTGAAGCCCAGTCCCCCCCTTCCCAGGTACAGACAGGTGTTTAAATAACATTGTCTCCTGTGGGCTCTCTTGCTCAGCGGGGTTTCCACGCTGAAAGGTGGATTTTGGTTACAAAGTGGCGAGAGTCGTTAAGACGCGGCAGGCTGCGATGGGGGGACAGCACCTGGCCGGGGCTGCTTCTGCTCAGGGGGCATCCCTGGAGGCCGAGAGGGGGCCAGGCCACCAGCCTCCCTCCTCACGCTAGATCGGCTGCCACCTCTCTTTTTTTTTTTTAATTAATTTATTTATTTTTAGCTGTGTTGGGTCTTCGTTTCTGTGCAAGGGCTTTCTCTAGTTGCGGAGAGCGGGGGCCACTCTTCATTGCGGTGCGCGGGCCTCTCACTATCGCGGCCTCTCTTGTTGGGAGCACAGGCTCCAGACACGCAGGCTCAGTAGTTGTGGCTCGCGGGCTCTAGAGCGCAGGCTCAGTAGTTGTGGCGCACGGGCCCAGTTGCTCCGCGGCATGTGGGATCTTCCCAGACCAGGGCTCGAACCCGTGTCCCCTGCATTGGCAGGCAGATTCTCAACCACTGCGCCACCAGGGAAGCCTGGCTGCCACCTCTCTTGCTGCCCAGCCCTGAGCTGGGCACTGACGGGTATTATCTAATCTTAGCTGCACAGAGGTGAGATGAAGACGCTTGCCCAAGGTTTCACAGCTGCTGAGAAGTGGCTTGGAGCCCAGGACAGGCCAGCTGCAGAGGCCAAGTTCTCGGCCACTCCAGCAGATCCGAGGTGGGTAGGAAGCTGGGCTGGGGCCATTAGCAAGGGGTGATCAAGGGGCGCAGTGGTGTGCACAGGGCAGCCCAGGATGTCAGGAGCACAGCTTGGCCCTTGGTGTGGGGCTGGCATCCCTGGACCAGGCTGCCTGGGTTGAGCCCTTGCTCTCACCCACCGAGCCCTCTAAATCCCCAAATGTTACAGTGATTAGGTTTAAAAGGAAATAAAATCTCAGAGTGGAGGCTCCTCCCCGGTAGTTGTTATTAACATTAACTTGGCCCAGGTGCCTCTGACATTCCAGGCTCCCACAGATGTCAAGGTCAGCCTCTGGCAGCAGCCTGTCCCCACCCCCCAATAGCTCAGAGGGTCAGTCTGTTTGATGGGATTTCTCACATTTGGGATGCATAAAGGCTAGAGAGCAGGGATTAGCTTGAGCAACTTACTTGACCTCCCTGTGCCTTGGTTTCCACATCTGAAGAATGGGGATAATTCTGCCTGTCTTATAGTGAGGCCTCAATGCATGGATATTTGCAAAGCCTCCAGGACAGTGCCTGGCATGGTCTCTGAGCATGGACGCAGGAGAATGGGGCCTTGCCTCTGGCTGGCTTTATGACCTTGAGTAGGTCTGTCTCCTCCCAGAGCCTCAGTTTCCCCTCCTGTAAAATAAAGGGCACAGGCCCAGGTGCATTCTGTCTAGCTCCCCAGTTATAGAGCCACCACTCTGCTATGGCACTCAGCTTCCTCGGAGCCCCTGTGATCTCGGGGCCCAGGGAGACGGAGGCCCGGGGAAGCCCTTCTGCCTCGGTCCCACTCCTAGCTGCCCTGACTACTGTGAGTACTGTCTCCCCCTCCTCTCACCCCATCCCCAAATTTCCTGATCTGAGGTTTATACAGACCCCCTCCCTCCAGGAGCACACTGGCCTCACCCCACAGGGTCATTCTGGCACGACCCCAGCTTCAAGACCCATCTCATTTAGGGGGTATAGCTCACCTCTCCCCTCACCTCAGTTTCTTCAGCAGTAAAATGGGTATAATGCACAGAGGGTTGTCGTCCTGATTAGTACAGAATTTGGCCCAGCTCCAGGCCCCACCCACTGTGCGTCCCCCAGCCTGGGACACGCAGGCTCTCCCCAGTGCGGCACTCAGGACTCACTGCCCTCCACCCCAGATTGGGTCTGCTGGGAAGAGAAATCTGAGCACAAGGCCCCCATGGCGGGAGGGGAGAGATCCTGAGATAAAGCCCAGGCCAGGCACTCCCACAGGGGTCTCTGCCCCCATATCTCTGGCTCCATCTCCCACCTCTCTTCCCGCCTGGGAACCTAATGGTCTAATTATCCTGACTTAGAAAGATGGCCGAGCCACTGGGGCATGGTGGGGGGTGGCCATCAGTGCACCCTCCCACGGGGCTCTGGGCTAGAGTCAGGAGCACTCTGGATCTCGCTGTGTGGCTTTGGAAAGGTTCTTTCCCTCTCTGGGTGTCTGTCTCCCTGTATACAGTGAGGGCTGGCAGAGGCCGTGTTCAAATCTTGAAAGCAAAAACTCTCACTGAATCCACACAACCCCCCCAGAGAATGGTTAGTATTACCTCCTTGCGCAAATGAGGAGACTGAGGCACAAAGAGATCACGTGGCTTGTCAAGGTGGAACCAGAGGTGAACTCAAAAGGCAGGACATCGGAGAGTGAGGACGCAGCCCCTTCTCTCCCTGCCCGTCCCTCCCCCACGTCTGGAAGCCACCGGACCCATCGCGGAGAGGCCTGCTCCCCTTTCCCACGGAGGGCCTCAGCAGGTGCCCCTGGAGGCCAGGGCTTCCGACAATAGCCACAGAGCCGGGGCTGACCCAGCCCTTTATCAGGGCAGGAGATCACGCACCATCTGGCCTCACAGCTGCCCAGGTGGGCTCACCTTCCCGGCTCCGTTTCAGAGAAACCCTACCCCTCTCGCTGTCCCTCCCCCAACCCTGGCCACGGCCCCCCTGCCCTCGGCAGAAACTGAGAGGAGCCACTGTCCAGACCCTGGGCAGACGGGGGACTGAGCACGCAGCCCTCTGGCCTGAGGGATCTGGGGGACAGATATGGGTAACGGGGGATGGGGGCAGTGCATTTCTCAGGCAGCTCGGGGATGTCGCAGATGTGGACGGGAAAGCTCCAAAATGATCATATGAAGCACAGCTGTTAGAACTGGGCCCGACTGAGCTCAAGTCCAGGCCCCCCACTACAGCCTGTGTGATTGTGGAAGAGTCTCTCAAATTCCCTGAGCCTAACTTCCTCACGCAGAAAAGAAAGAGGCTAAGAGAGGTTTTTCTCCTGCGACTGGGAGGGTTCAAAGAGCTGTGGCCCAGGTAAAGAACTCAGCATGGTGCCTGTGCTTTGTCTGTAGAAATCTTTCATGTGAAAATATTAGCAGTATTTTAAAGACAGGTCACTTATTTCCAAGGGGTCTGCCTATCCTGTGGGGTGGGGCTCTTCCCGGCAGCGTTCACAGCAGCCCCTGAGCCCAGGGCCTCCATGTACAATAAGCCTGCTAGTCCTGGGAGGGCGAGGCAGTGTCATCCCCACTCAGCAGATGGGGAAACAGAGGCTCAGAGAGGTGAAGGCCCCACACACCTGGTCTTTCTGACCCCAAACCCACCACCCAGCTGGGCACCCCCGTCGCTCGGCCCCGGTAACATATGTCGGAGTCTTGCTTGAGGTCTCCTGCCCAACTGTCTGCTGCCCTGATAAGACTGAGCCCCCTGTGGGCAAAGGATGGGGCCCCTTCACCACTGAATATCTATGGTGTGAAGCAGCAGGTTAGATCCCCTCCTCTTGACCCTTAGGGGGTGACTGCATTGCAGGGTGTAGAGAATGCCTCCTTACCCCCAGGAGCCCTACAGGGTCACAGGACAGGGGCAGGCGGGCTTGGTCCTCACTGTTGTCATTTACAAGTGCATGTCATGCCAGAACTCCACAGTGAACAAGGCAGATGCGGGACTGCCCTCCCAGGCTCACGTCTGCCATGACGGGGCGAGGCACAGGGTGCCTTTCCTGGACCCCAGTCCTCCCCACGTCCTGGCCCGAGGCAGGCACATGGTGGGTCTCCCCGGTGCACTTGCTTCTTCCTCCCTGCAGGTTTCTGGCACAGCCCTGAGTGTGAATTTGTCCGCCACTGCATCGCCAAGTCCCAGGAGCACGTGGAAGGGAAAGTGCGGGTATCCGTCTTCAAGGGCCAGGTGTACATCCTCGGTCGGGAGTCCCCACTGTCCCTCTACAACGAGGAGCTGGTGAGGTAGGCGTCCCACCCCTGCCCCCAGCTGGGCACAGACCCTCATGTCCAGTATCTCCTCCGACTGGCTTTCTCAGCAAAGATATGCCCAGGCACGTGTAGGGTATGGGGGAGACAGTCCTGAAGATTATCCACACCACCTCTGCCCTCATGGAATGTACAGGCTAGATGGGGAGAAAGGTCCCAATCAAAGGATCACCCGAGTGCAGGATTAGGGAAGGAGGTGCTGGGCTGTGGGGAGAAACAGGATATTTGGGCTGGGTATGATAACGGGGGTGTGGGGAAGTTTCCCCATGGAAGCCATTTCTGAGCTGGTCTCCGAAAGAAAGGAGTGAACCAGGTGGAGAGGGGGCAGGAGAGTTTCCAGAGGGACTGTCCTGTGCAGAGGTTCTGAGCCTTGGAAGAACCCAGCACATCCCAGGCACTACAAGAACCTGGCAAGGGTGGACACAAGGGCTCCCCGTGGGACATGCTGGTGGCTTGGACCAGGCTGCTGGTTCTGGGAATAGAGAGCAGCAGATGGATTTGGCAAATATTTAGGAGGTGGGATTGAAAGGGCTTGGATGGGGAGGGAGATGGAAAAGTTCAGAACCACCCTGGGTTTTCTGGCATGAGCCGCTGGGTACACTTTGGTGGCGATGACTGAGTTGAAGGAATGGGGGAGAAAATCATGCATTTGGATTTGGACAACTGCAGGATGAGTTTTCTTTGAGATAGGCCAGGAGAACTATAGTCGGCCACTGGACACACAGGGCTAGAGTTGAGGAGAAACGTGGTCTGAGGACACTGGATGATGGGGCCAAGAGGAGACAGCCCAGGGGAGCGGCAGAGCTGGATGAGAGGGAGCCAGGAGGGAACCTTGAGGAGCTGCCTCCCGACGGGCCAGGCTGAGGGCGCTGAAAGGACGCGGGAGAGGCTGGGGAGCCCTGGTGGGCTGGGTCCAAGGTAGCGGTTGCCTATTAGCTGCACCTGTGTTTGCATCCTGAATGATAGACTGGCCTTGACCGAGGAGCAAGGTGTTCCCTCTGGAGTTCACCTGGCCAAACAAGAGGTGGGGACAGGCAGCCCCACCTGATACAAGTCCCAGGTCCAGCTTGGCTCAGGCTGAAGCCAGCTCTCCCCTCCCGGAAGCCGGTCAGGAATTACAGTACGAGTTTTGTTTAGCGGTCAATATTATTTTTCTCTCTCCCGTCTCTTTGCCGTGTTGCGTTTCTCTCCCCCCTTCAATCTTCCTAAACACTTTAGAAGCCATAAATATAGCCGAATCAGTTTAGATCAGTCGGGGTAAATGTCAAATTATCTTCTCTCTTTCTCTCTCTGGCTCTTTCTTCCCTCCCCCTCCAAATCAACAGCCTCTAATAATCTGTCCAACCCTTCATTAAGCCTTACAGTCTCACTCAGGGAGATTAAATGAATAAAGTAAAAAGGGAAAGGGGAAAAAAAAGAGAGAAAAGCAGGAGCATTTATTCTCACTGTGTCTCCGACCATTTCCCTTTTCTTTCTGATTTCTACATCGCTGACTTGAAAGCCCTTGAGTGACAGCGTCACAGGGACCAGCGAGGAAACCGCGAGAGGTAGCAGAACTGGAAATGCCGCGGCACAGTAGGTAGAAAGTACCGTAATTATAGAGCAGGTCAGAGCCACTCGAATGAACAAAAATAAAAGCACAGAGGTTTTCTGTAGACCATCAGGGGAGGGAAAAAAAAAAAAAAAAAAAAAAAAAAAAATCATTGTAAACTTTTGCCACCGGTACCCCCTACCTCCCGAAACCACAAATTTTAAAAGAGGTTTTTCGGTTCCCGAGAAACTTCAGCAGTCCCGTGGGACACGTTTGTCCCTGGATGTGGGCCTCTCTTTGCAGGGGCTGCTGGGGTGGTCTGAAGGGCCTGTTTGGGGGCAAGGGGGTGGCAGAGTTTGTTTCGACTCGTGAGAGACGGAGGTGAAAGGACGGATGCACACGGGGAGGAGGGAGGGGGTCCAAGGCCTGCTTTCTCCCTGGGCTGAGCGCAGGGGCCCTTCCAAAGGGGACGAGTGCCTCAGACAGCGGGCGCGAGGCCAGGAGTCCGAAGCCGTGTGGTGGTTCGGGATGGGGGTGTGGAGGCACAGGGCGGGGTCATGTGAAGCTTAGTTTTTCACCCCAGCAAGGTCTGTAAAAGCTATTCGAGGAGGCTGACGCTTTAGGTGGGTCCAGCCTCTCCCCTGCCTGGTGAGGGGTGCCGAGCTCAGCCCCTCGGATGTCTGACATCTTCTCTGTTTACAGGGAGCTTGCTAGTCGATTCCTGGTGGCTTCAGCCACCTGAGCCCTGGAGGGGCCGATGGAGGTGAAAAGGAGGGAGCATTGAGAGCGTGGGAGTTCTAGCTTCTAGGTCCCCTGGAGGTCAGGGCAAGCGCGTGGCAGGGGGAGGCACAGGGCCCAAGTCCTGACAAGCTGCAGGGCAGCCGGGCGTAGAGACCCCGTTTGTTGTACGAAGCCCACAGTCCACAAAGAGCCAGTCAGAGGCACAGCCTCAGGGTCTCAGAAAAATGGCAGAACCCCTCTGCCCTCCTCCCCGATCTCACCTCTCTGGAGAAGGCTCCTGAGGGGACAGGCCACCTCCTTGTCATCGAACCTTGAGACTGCTTTGTCCTGAGGCTGGAGTTCTGCAGACATGAAGACAAGGGGCTGATTCAGGGCAGGACGCAACAAGGGGCCCGTGAGAAACGGGAGGGACCCCCTTCCCCCAGGGGGCTCAGAGGGTGGCCTCGTGGAGTCGGATCTGAGACCACAGCGCCCTGAACTTGTCCTCAAAGAGCATATCACAGTCGTAATTATCGAAGGCAGATGGATGATTGATTGCTTATGTCTGAACTCGCCACCCCACCACCCCCTGCCCCGCACGTGGGTGTTGCTCTTGTCTGGTTCTTGTTTCCTCAGCACCTGGCACAGCGCCTGGCAGGTAGGTAGTAGGTGCTTAATAAATACCTGAGTAAATGAATGACTGAATGATGTTAGTAAAGCTGAGTGCTTACCTGGTGCCAGGTGGCAGCTATATCATTTCACTTGGAGCCAGTGATAAGGCTGAGAGCCCCATCTCACAAGTGAAAGACTGAAGCTCAAAAAGCAAGAATATTTGCCCTAAGGTCTATGGCAGGGGTGGAGCCAGGCTGCTCACCCAGGTGGCTGGACCTGACTGACTGTGGTTGGGAAGGGTTCCAAAGCGCAGCTAAGTGAGAACACCCAAAAGATGAAGGCTGTCGAATCTGGAAGATGGAAACTGCAGATGGGGGGAAAAAATCTGCTCCATTGAGTATAGCAGGGGTTGACTGGGCACTTTTCAAAACCAACTGGCATCGGGTGGGTGCCCATGTTGGAGGATGGATTAGAGTGATGGATGCCCATCACTCAATGGGCAAACAAGGTGAAAAAGACTTCGTGGACAGATCTTAACTGCTGGGGCCTCTCTGCAGCTTGAGGGATGCCGTCACGCATATCTGAGGCTGTCTGGTGTGTAACTCCTGGCCTCCCAGGCCTTCAGGCCACTGGACACCACCAGCTGTTCCTGGGCACTCATCGAAGCCCTCCACAGCCCGAGGGCAGAGCTGGCTCCAGTGTATGTCCTGAGGTTACAGATGCAGTGCTCTGGTTCGTGGGAGCAGTTCACTGGGCTGGCGCTGGCTGGACCAGGACCCAACCTGCCCATTTGCGTAGCAGGGATATGGCTCCCTGCTCTGCAGCCCTGGCATGATCCCTGGCCCCGGGTAGGGCTCCCTGAATTGGAAGGAATGGAATGAAAAGCCAAAGTGCAGGGAGTGTTGGATCAACACTGAGGAAATGCCTGGGTGTCTGTGAGACTGAGGTCCCTTGGATGCCAAGGCCAAGGCCTGGGGGATGCTGACGAGCTCCTACTCTTTTGCAGCATGAATGTGCAGGGAGATTACGAGCCAGTTGATGCCACTGGTTTCATCAACATCAACTCCCTCAGGTGAGAAGCTCTGGGCCCTGATGGGTCCTCAGACCCTCCAGGTGCGGGGAGCAGGCTCCGATGGGACCTCAATGCTCTGACCACTGCTCTGCCCTAGACAAGCCCCACCTTCCTGTCCCTCCACCCACCACATCCTCAGCGCCTGCTTTGGACCCAGCCTGCTCCCATCCTCTGCGGGACCACAAGGCACACTTGTGACAGCTAAGAGCAACAGAGGGTCCTGGGCACTTGAGTTCCAGGTTTCTGGGTTCTGCTCTTTGCCTCTGACACTCACTCCCACCCTCTCCAGCCACTAGGAGCCCCTTTCCCGGGCAGGTTAGCAAGGGAAATGGCCGAGGGGTAGAAAGAAGCCACAGACGGTCACCTGGCTGGCTCCTGCCTTCACGTCCACATACATGGGCTTCAGGTCTAACCGGAACCTTGGATCTCCACAGCCCAGTGGGGTGATACACACCATCTGAAGCCACTCAGACCTGGCTTCGAATCCTGCCTCTGCACTTTGGTCTCAGAACCCTTCTGAACTTCTGGAAATCATAGGATGTTAACCATACCTGCCTCACAGGTGCAGTGAAAGTTTCATCTGAGTCCGTGGAAATCAAGCACTCTGCCCAGACCCTGGCACCCAGGAAGGGCACAGTGCCTAGCAGCAGGTGTTCAGTGGGGCTGAATCTAGAAGGCCTGTCTGTCCAGCTCTGGGCTCTTAATCCCCATCTTCCTTCTCCTGGGGCTTGGGGTCTGGAAGAAGGCATGAGTTTCTCTCCTCTCGCTGATAACACGCCCCCAGCACGAAACCATTTTCTCTCAGAGCCAGCCTCCTGGCCCTGGAGCCGAGACTGGGAGAGACACGGATTCCAGCCCGACAGTCACCTCCATCTCCCCGCCTCCTTCACCCCTTTTGTGTTTTATGACTCTATAAACCCTTTTAAATGGCTCCGAACACACCGGGTTTTCATAATGGCCTCTTCATTTCTCCCATTGCCAGTTTAACGCTTTGTCTTAAACAATGGCAAGCAATGTTTTCCCCCTAAGATAAATTAATCACATTATCCTGATTGGAGGGCAGGAGGGGCCGGGGCAGGAGAGGGAGAGAGGGAGAAAAAAAGACAACTCCACACACATCTTAACAAACAGCTGCCCCTGCCACCCCACCTCTGCCTGAATTAATTGAACTGAGTGCATGTTGTTATTGTTAATTTACATTTTTCTTTGTTTTGAATGTGGTTTACAGGCTGAAGGAGTATCATCGCCTCCAGAGCAAGGTCACCGCCAAATAAACCGGGCTGATAATGGGGAGCTGGGACTCCTCGCTTTGCCCATCTCCCAAGTGCAGCCGCTAATTGTTGTGATAATTTGTAGTTGTGACTTGTCCTCCAGGGCTGGCAGTGCAGTGCGGGTGCCAGGCCCCGGCTTTGTTCCCTGGTCCCCTGGATCCTGCAGAAGTGGTCAGCAAACGGAAGGGGTGGGGGCCGGCTGCAGTCAGGAGCTGTAAAATGACGATTAAAAAAAATGATACATTGGTCTTTTGTTTATTTCTGCAGAGAGAGGAGTAAGAGTGTGTGTGTGTGTGTGTGTGTGTGTGTGTGTGTGGTGAATCATGCTTTTCTTAGACCAACCTTTGTGTTTTCTGACTAAAGCACTGCCGAAGGCCACCTTTTGCCAGAGAACCTGTATATCTGGAAGAATCGACCCCTCTCTCCAGCAAAAAGCATGGAATCCAGAAGCACCCACCCGCGTCAGACCCTAGCCCAGAAGCCTGGCATTTTGTTACCAGCTGTGCCCCTGTGGCACGTGCCAGGGAAACCAGGGAGAGATTAGGTGACAAACTTGGGGGCAGTCGTTCCCACAGCCCACAGTGAACTCCCGGGAATGGTGGCCACGACTGACCACACCAGGCTTCCCCACCATGGCTGGGTGGCCTTAAGCGTCCTACATCAAGGAGGAGAAAGAAGCCAAGTAAGAAGAGCAGCCTGGGCACAGAGGACAAAAACACAGACATAATTTGGTGGTGGTGGTGCCGGTGGGGAGTGTTTACCTGGCTTACACTGTTCCCTCCACCCTTCCTCCACAAACCATGGCCCAAAGGCGCCATGTTTGTACTTGACTCCACCCCTTCACTCATATCTGATTGGACCATGGCTGGGCACCTGACTAGAGCTGGGCCAATCAGAATCTCAGTCCCAGCAATGGGGCCCAGGGAACCGGCCAGAAGCGAGGACGAGGGAATTTAGGCGTGGTGGGATGCCCTGTGGCTGGAAAAGCAGAGAGGGAAAAGGGAGTGATGGGAAGAGTGGGTGTCCGGTTTAGAATCCCAGTTCCCATCCCGGTAGGCCTCGTGGAAGCTGGCAGTATTTCTTAACTTGGATTCTCTGAGACACTGGTGTTCTCATAAGCAATTACCATTTAGAGCTTAATTAAGCTGGTGAGAGAGTTTGTGGTATCTGCAGACAGAAGCACTGTTACCGGGAAGACTTGAGTGCTGGTTGCTCTGAACCCTTCCCTGGTTCTGACTTCCACTCCATTGCCTTTGTTAATGAGGGTTTCTTTCAAAAGAAATTTTGTTTTTAAAACGTGTTTTCCTGTTATTGTGAAGGTTACAAATGAATTATTCAATGAATCTTAACTTTGTGCCAGACACTTTGCTACACACTTTATTCAGATTATCTCTTTGAATCTTCAAAATGACACTGAGGTAGATGCTTTTTTCTCTGTTCGGTGGAGGAGGCAACTGAGACGCAGAGGAATTGCTTTGCCAGCTTTCAGTCAGCTAGCAAGTGACAGAGCCAAGAACCAAACTCTGGCCTGGCTGACCCCCCAAATCCTGTGTGTTTATGTCCTTAACCGTCATTGGCTGCATCTTATTAAAAAAACAAAACAAAACGCAATCTTATAGAAATAACTATCACCCATCATCTCACCACCCAATTTTAAACACTGCTTATACTTAGTGAATTTCTTCTCAGTCAAATTTTTCTATACTTATAAATATTTTTACAGAGTTATTTAGGATAAAGTATTGTTTCTTCTTTTTGGCCGTGCCACGTAGCGTGTAGGACCTTAATTCCCCCACCAGGGATTGAACCCATGCCCTCTGCAGTGGAAGTGGGGAGCCTTAACCACTGGACGGCCAGGGAAGTCCCTAAAGTATTTTAAAAGCAAGTGTTTTGCCCTGCTTTTAAATTAACATTACATCATAAACAGTTTTCTTCATCAAAAACTCTTAAACACTTTCAACAACTATGTAATATTCTATTATATTGATAGCTGTTAACCTTTCCCCATTTATAGATTTAGTTTTTCACTCTAAACTATTTTCCTGCCTTTCGTTGGATTTAATTGAGTATTCTTAGTAGCTGGTTTATTAGCTATGCTTTTTGTCTTTTCAGTGGTTTCTCTAGGGTCTACAGTGTCCATATATCTTTAGTTTACAACGGGCTACGTTCATTAATGTTGTACCGTCTCATGTGTAATATAAGAATCTTACAACAATACAATCTTAGAACATTTCAGTTTGTGCTTTTGTTGTCATATATATTTTGCTTCTACAAAAACCCACAATATGTTGCTATTTTTTCTTTAGGTAGTCAAATATCATTTTTAAAAGATTAAAAATAAGAACGGTATGTGTTTTATATTTATCCTGTGTAGGACTGGCAATGTTTCTTTCATAAATATCTGATAGAATTCACTACTGAAACCATCTGGGCCTAGAATTTTCTTGGCGGATGCTTTTAAGGTATAAATTCAGTTTCTTTTATTTATATTGGGTTATTCATGTTGTCCATTTCCTCTTGGGTCAACTTTGGGTAATTTGTGTCTTTTGAGGAATTTGCCCGTTCCATTTAGATTGTCAGTTTTATTGGCATAAAGCTTTTCATAATATTTTCTTATTATCCTTAACTGTTTGCAGGATTGATAGCAATGTCCCTGTTTCATTACTTACCTTGGGGATTTGTGTCCTCCCGTGTTCTTTTTTTCTCCCCCCAGGGATTGCTGAGACATGCAGAGATTCTTTTTTTTTGGCCATGCCACGTGGTTTGTGGGAATTTAGTTCCCCAACCAGGGATCGAACCGGGGTGCTAGGCAGTGAGAGCGCAGAGTCCTAACCACTGGACTGCCAGGGAATTCTGAGAATTTTTATTTATCACATGTGTTACTACTTATTTTTACTTGTAGAACAGAGTCACAGATAGAAGAGCAGGCTGTTAGTAGGTATTAGTAGAGCTCATTAGCATAACATCTAGTACTTAGTAGGTTGCCCTCCCTTATTCTTTTTTTTTTTAAACATCTTTATTGGAGTATAACTGCTTTACAATGGTTAGTTTCTGCTGTATAACAAAGTGAATCATCTATACATATACATATATCCCCATATCTCCTCCCTCTTGCGTCTCCCTTATAATTAATGAAACTATATTGATGCATCATTATCATCCGAAGTCCATAGCTGACATTGAGTTCTTGGTGTTGTATTGATAGAGTCTATGGGTTTGGATCAATGTATAATGACATGTATCCTCCATTATAGTATCATACAGACTAATTCTACTGCTCTAAAGATCCTCTGTGCTCTGGTAATTCATCCCTCCCTCTTCGCTAACCCCTAGTGACTACTGATCCTTTTACTGCCTCCACAGCTTTGCCTTTTCCAGCATGTCATGTAGTTGGAATCATTTGGTGTACAGGATTTCCAGATTGGCTTCTTTCACATAATAATATGCATTTAAGCTTATTCCTTGTCTTTTCATGGCTTTATAGCTCGTATCTTTTTTTTTTTTTTTTTAATATTTATTTATTTATTTTTGGCTGTGTCGGGTCTCAATTGCAGTGCTCAGACTTAGTTGCCCGGAGGCATGTGGGATCTTAGTTCCCCAACCAGGGATCGAACTCTAGTCCCCTGCATTAGAAGGCAGATTCTTAACCACTGGACCACGAGGGAAGTTCCTGAGCTTCATTTTCTACAGTATCTGTTGCTATGTGTTCAGGTTCATTGACCTTCGACACTATCAAATCTGCTATTAATCTCATCAAGTGTATTTTTCATTTCAGGTATTTTTTTCATCACTATATGAGTCATTTTTGTATATCCAGTTGCATGGTTACATCCTTGAGCATATGGAACATATTCATAATGGCTGCTTTAATGTCCTTCTCTGTTAATTCTATCGTCCCCGTTACTGCTTGGTCTGCTCCTATTGACTGATTTTTCTCTTAACTATGGGATTTTTTTTCTTACTTCTCTGTATAGCTCATAATTTAAAAACTTTGACCCTGGGCATTGTAACGATGCATGGTTGGGTTTTCTTGTATTTCCTTAAAGAGTATTGGACTTCTTTAGAGAAGGCAGTTTTGTTACTTATAGATTGGTTTGATCCTTTCAAGATTTGTTTTTAAGCTCTTTTAGAGCAGCTCTAGTTTTTATTCTAGGGATAATTTAACTCTACTTCTAAGGTGTGGCCTTTCTAATGTTCTTACTTGACGACTTGGAGTCAATGAGGTCTCTCTCCTCTAGCTGGAGGACTCTTAAACAATTCCCAGTCCTGTATGAGATTCCTAGTAATTTTTCTTTCCTTGAAAATTGTTCTTGTGTATGCTCGTGGGATTTTGCTTGAAGACAGTGGCACCTGCCAAAGTCTCAACTGGACACCATGCAGATGACTGGAGTTCTTTCTCTTAGTAACTCCCTCCTCTCTGGTCATCAGTCCCATCAATTCCAGCTGCCTTGGTCTCCCCAAATCCCATCTGTCTTCTTAGCTCAGTAAGATCACTGGACTTTTCTGTCTTGCCTTCTCCATTCTGCATTTTGAGAATTATCTCCAGGCAGGAAGCTAGACAATAGTAGGATTCATCTTGTTTTTATTTTTTCACAGTCCTGTGCTGCCTGTTGTTGAATGTCTGAAAATAGTTGTTCCTTGTGTTTTGTCCAGTTTCTACTGTTTACAATGCGAGTATAATTCTAGACCACCTTACTGCTTCATGGACAGAAGTGGAAGTTGACTTTTTTTTTCAATTTAACAATAATACAATCCAAATACCCATAGGCCACCCTGGCCTGGGGTCCCATTTACTATCTTATTAACGTAAGTCACATAATTTCTCATCCCTGTTGAACCAACACCCACCCACCATGGCTTCTGTCTCACTCAGCATAAAATCTAAAGTCCTTACTGTAGCCAGCACCAACTCCCTGACATGGAGGTGCATGGGAACCTCCAGACCCAGGCAAGCCATAAGATGACGGTAGCTGCTTAAATGATCCCACATGAGACCAGCAGAAGAACCACCAGACTGACAACCTATAGGTACATGAGAATGAATAAATAAAGTTCTGCTCTATTGCACTAAGTTTTCATTACTTATTTTGCTGCAACAGATAATTGATACACTTACTATGACCTTCAAATTCCTTCATGATCTGGCTTGCTACCTCCTCTCTTTCTCACCTCCCTTCACTCTCCCTCTCACTCTGCTCCAGCCCACTGTGTTACTTGCTGTTCCTCAAACAG